GATTTCTGGAAATATTCTAAAGTTGTTTCCACTGTTCTTGAAATTAAGATTTAGAAACATTTGAAAAATATAAGTTACCTGACAACTGACAACAATTAGTGGTCTTCCAGGCAGATACTTTACTAATGATTCTAAACGTTTGTTTTAAGAACTACAATATTAATTATGCATAATAAACATTTTAGATATGTAAATATATATAAATATACCAACGACGTATTAAGGAAAATCTGGGACAAATTATCTAGAACTTGGTCATTCATATACTGGCACTTTTTTACTCTCAAGGTAACACTGCTCCATAGAAAAAAGGTATGAATGAGAATGAATATCTTTGTAGTGGAAGAGGTGTACTAGATACATTACATCTTCATCAGAAATACATGTATTTCTAATGATGATATAACAAAAATGCATCAAATACCTTTCTAGCCTTGTGTATATTTCATTCTCACTTTTTTTTTCCAAATTTGTTGCTCTCATAAAATAAAAACAAGTACAATTATTTTTTATACAGTTTCTCTGTATTCCTTACATATGTATGATAGTAACAGTGGTAATGAAGCTATTTGCATTAAGCTAGGAAAAGAAATGTAAGGTACTGTGTTAAGAGCAGCAATATCTACAAAAGCAATAATCTTTTTAGAAAAAAACACCAATAAATCAAAACAAAGCAGGTTCTGAAGGTTTAAGAAATCATAATGGAACAATAACTCTTCTCTAAATGAACTGTATATATACATAAATAATGGAACTAAAAGAATATGGAAAATGGATTTCATAAAAAAAAAGTAATCAGCACAAAAATACATTACTAAGTACATGAATCATGAGCAATTATATATACATAAACACTAATCTGTTACACCTGACACTCACCTCTCCTGAAGGCCAAGACAGAGACCAGCCACTAAGATGTAAGTTACAACAGCCATTAAAGGAATATACAAGTCTGGAGCATTGATCTCATAGCGGGGTTGCACTGGCTCCTCTTGGTTGTAGCGTACACTCCAGTCCTGCATTTATATGTGGAAAAGCACAACAGACTAAAACATAAAAATCAAAAGCAGAACAGAAATTGGAAATATATTATTACATTTTCCATGCCAAGGACGTCTGAAAGCAGTGTCACAAAATGACAACTTACCGAGTGTGTGAAGGGGAAAAACAGCAGTTGCAGCTTCTTCATGACATAGCGTGTGTCGACAGCGAAATAATACTTTATTTGGGTCATGGAGACATATTTCTCCAACTTCTTGTCCACATACTCTCGCCCTTGACCCACCAAACTCTGGCCATACTGCATGGCCATATTAGCTACCATAGGGTCCTAAACAAACAACATTATCAGCCATCCGTCTACAGCACTGATTCCATATCTGAACATATATTTGAACAAATGTATCACATTAATACTGTACGTTGATGTTGAAACTGATGCTGGTAATCATAATAGAAACCATATCATGATGATCATGACTGCAATGATCATCATGATTATTATTGATGATGATTATTGATGATGATGATGATTATTGATGATGATGATGATGATGATGATGATGATGATGATGATGATGATGATGATGATGATGATGATGATGATGATGATGATGATGATGATGATGATGATGATGATAGTGCAATAAGTAAATGGAAAATGCCATTTCAATCTTACCTGGAAAATCTGTGGTCCTGGCATACCTGGGTACTGAGGGTATCCCGCCCCCCCTTGGGCATTACCACCTTGAGCTCCTGAAGGTGGTGGCCCACCCCCTTGGGGATACCCATAGTTATTCCCTCTGTAACCGGCAGCTTGAAAACAAAAGGAAAACAAATGAAAAGGCTGTAAATATTAAGTGGACTTCCCAGAACTTCACATCCAATTTTTTAAAGGCAGATAATCAAACACTCATCCTCACCTCCCTCACCTTGGTTTCCATATCCATAATTCTGACCACTGGTATCCTCAAATAGCTGTGGCGGAGGCTGCTGGCCTTGTGGTTGCCCATATGGGTCATAATGGTTGTCGTACATGCTGCCCGCGTTAGTGGTAGATGCAGTCTCAGGACCACCACCAACTACCCTACGGCCACGGACCTGGGCTGAAAGGATTGCTTGTTAATCTAAAAATCAAGTGTAGAAGTTAATTATTCTGATGCTTTGCTGAAGATGACTACTAGTTCAGAAATTGGTATATCAGTAAAAATCATAAGTAGTGAATATTTATGTTTTTCATTGCAAAGATGAATGCTGAAATTAATATTTTTCAAAGCTCAATAAACAACTGTTCTGTTTAATAAAATGTCAAGAAAAAATAAATTAATCTATTATCCAGTAAGAGAATTTCACTCATGTGATGGGCATGCTTAATCCCTACAATCCGGATGATGTGACCAAGTCATAAAAAAATTTAGCTCAAGGGCCGGGTGATGTGAACATGCCATTATTGGAAAACTTGGTTGAGGGCCAGGTGACTGGAACTTGGCTGAAGGCCAGG